CTGCACTTTTATTTTTTTTCCCAACCACTCACATTACAATTTAGAGTCAATGTGGGTGCCAGAAAGAGTGCCAAAATATAAGTAAATTCTGAGTGAGTCAGTGAGTCATGACTTAAATATTATGCAATGTGTAAATGTATTAAAGTATTACATGTTACTGCATTAATATGTATAATTCTTAATGATTTTTCTATCAGTTGAGAATAAATTTAAATTTTTAAAAGATAAAATACATTCTTTTTTCTTTTTTTGGCACTTATGGGATTTGAACTTAGGGGCATGCAATTTGCCAGGCAGGCACTCTTACCACTTGAGGCACTCCAGCAGCTCTTTTTAAGTGCACACACATATCTATTATTATTATTATTATTATTATTATTGCAGTACTGGTGCTTAAAGTCAGGGCCTACACCTAGAGCTACTTGACAAGCCCTTTTTTCTGATGGATTTTTTCAAGATAGGATCTCTCAAACTATTTGCCCAGGCTGGCTTCAAACTGCGATCTGCCTGATCTTTGCCTCCTGAGTAACTGGGATTACAGGCATGAGCCACTGGCATACATACTTTTTAAGTGAATTACATTTTGGGAAAACTGGATTTTGACAATGAAGTTGGACCATTAACTTACACTATATACAAAAATTAACTCAAAGTGGATCAAAGATCTAAATGTAAGTACCAAAGCAAAAAGTCTTAGAAGAAAATATGGGGGGAGGGGCAGGCAACAAAAGGAAAAATAAATTGGACTTCATCAAAATTAAAAACTTTTTTGCATGGGCTTATAGAGTCTGTCAAGTGGTAGAGTGAGTGCCTGCTTAACAAGAATGAGGCCCTGAGTTCAAACCCCAATGCTGCCAAAAAAAACAAAAAAAGAAAAAAAACTAAAAGACAAGTTGCAGGCATGGTAGGGCACACCTGTAGCCCCAACTAATCAGGAGGCTGAAGTGGGAGTGTAGCTTGAGCCCAGGGATCCAAGGTCAGCCTCAGCAACATAGCAAGACTCTGTCTCAAAAAGGAAAACAAACCCCCAAGGCACAACAAAAACGTCTATAATCCTAGCACTGAGGAGGCTGAGGCAGGAGGATCATGAATTTGAGGCCAACCTGGGTGGGCTACATAGCAAGATCTGTCAAAAAAGAAAGAAGGGGGGAGGAATGTTATGTAAAATATAGATGGGGTGAATATGATCAAAGTATATGCATATAGTGAATATCACAATGAATCCCCTTTATACAACTAGCTTATGCTAATAAAAAATTAAAAGAAAAAGAGGGGGTGAGGGATGGAGGGAAGAAGGGAGGAGGAAGGAAAACTGGCAAAGAATTTGAATAGACATTTCAATGAGTACATGTTTGATATCATGAATCATTAGGAAAATGCAAATCAAAACCATGAGATACCACTTCATATCCAATAGGATGGCCATATTATTTTTAAAAATTGGAAAGTTTGGTAAGGATGTAGAGAAATAGGAAACTTGTGCATTGTTGGTGTTGTGGTTGCAGAACAGTTTAGAGATTTGTCAATCAAAATATTAAACAAAGAATTACCATATGAAGCTGAGTGCTGGTGACTCACACCTGTAATCGTAGTTACTCAGGAGGCAGAGATTAGGAGGATTGTGGTTCAAAGCCAGTCCAGGAAAGTAGTTTGAGAGACTCTATCTTGAAAGGAACCCATCACAAAAAAAGGGCTCGTGGAGTGACTCAAGTGGTAAAACACCTGCCTAGCAGGCATAAGACCTTGAATTCAAACCCCAATACCACCAAAAACCAAAAATATAAATACCATATTGTCCATTAATTCAACTTCTGGTGTATACCAAAAAGAAATAAGAGCAGAAACTCAGATATTTACATAGGAGCATTATTCACAATGGTCTAAAGATGAAAACAATTGTGTATCAACAGATGAACAGATAAACAAAATGTGGTATATACAAACAACAGAATATTCAAACTTTAAAACGAATAAAATTTTAATGCTACAGCATGGATGAACCTTGAAAACAATGTGAATGTTTTAAGTTAAATTAGCCAGACACAGGACAAATACTGTATGATGTTACTTATATGCAGTACCAAGAAGCAGCAAATTCTGAGGGGCAGAAAGAATTGAGTTTATGGGGTGCTAGAGGGGGGAGAATGGGAATTCTTGTTTAGTGGGTTCAGTTTGTTTGGGATGATAAAAAAAAGTTCTGCAAATGATGATTCACAATCTTGTGAATCTTGTGAATGTACCAAAAAATGAACTTACCTCTTCTGAGCCACGAGGACTGAGGCTTTTCTAGTTTCATACTCTCTCCTTTTAGTTGCCCCACCCCATGGAATTGCAATCTACATAAATAAACTGTCCTTGCTCCACTTTTACTTCAGATTAACTCTGCTGATTTGTTTTCCACAGAAAGAAATCAGCCAAGTCTACAAAGCTCATTTTCTCAGTCTAAATACCGGACACATCAACAGCCAGGTCTGGGACAGAAGGTATCCTGAAGAAGAAATGTTTAGAGTATTGGGGAATTACTCGGGATTAGTCTTTCCCAAATACAAAAGTATCATCTTTGTCAATCCTGAGTGAATCTCTACTCTATCTCCAGATTCTTTGCATTTTGCCAAGTGTTGCTCAAGCTCATGGAAAAGAGGAAGCCAATGCCCCAAGGAAGTGACACTGGGATGAACTGAAATTCTTTTGTAAGTTAAGTTACATAAAGGTGGCAAACTGAAGTTATGTTGGTATATACAATCAATTTTCCCACCCATTAGATATAAAATCCAGTAAATAAATCTGAGGTACAGAAAGATGGTAAGATAGATAGAGATAATCCATCTTGCAGAAGCAGACCATAAACCAGTTACCAACCCTAGGGGAAAATAGTGTACCATTACACGGAGCAGGACTCTGATCACTTTTGCCTGTTACATTTTGGTATTGGTGTTGCCAAGGGAAACACTGTTCCATCTGGTGAAATGCGGATGAACAATGCTTTACTTACATAGAGAAGAAATAAGGATCAGCTGTGATAATGTGCCTCAATTCCTTTGGCCACAGGGGACCCCCCAGTACCCAAGGCAAGGCAGTTGCCACAGAACGAACCTGCCCTGTTCCCTCCCCTCTGCAGATATAGATAGCAGTGGGGCTGGCCAGATGTTGTGTGACACACACACTTTAGCAGAATAAAGGGATATAACTTAGGCCTGTGACGGAGAGATATGGTCCCACACTGGCACTAAGCCCAGCACAGGACATGTGGACGCTGACCTCTTTGTAAGGGAAAGAGGAAATGTTTCAGGCCCAAGGTCCACTGTCAGATACCCAAGGCAGTATGATGGTGTCCTTCCCACCAACGGGTGGGAAGGGAAATATGGGGCATTAGGAAACAAGATTCACTGTTGGAGAACTTGCAGGGTGTTTCAGTCCAGGAGTTATAGGAGTAACAATGGTGAGTAGAAATAGTAGGTAAGGACATACACAGTGGGCAGTGGGACCTAGTAGATGGACTTACTGACATAAAGCTTTATTTGGAGGTTCTAGAAATTCAGCTGACAGGTGAGAGTGGAGTTCACATCTCCCCTGGTTTCTTGATGACTTAAGAGGGCTGATAACTGGAAATGGCCACTAACTACTTAGTTCTCTCACCACAATTTCAACAACTCCCTTCCCACTGGTGCCCAATCGACCTTCCCTTTCTTGAGTCAAGAATACGAGCTCTCTAGTCTAGACAGTGGGCAGGGTACTGACTCATTCTTCTAGGTCATATACCAAGTCTGGAATTCTCTCTGTCCTACGGAGAAACATCTATACAAGTAACTACACAGGAAAAGCAAGCATGAAGTGGTCCACTTTTTATATCACGCTGTGTGTTTTATTCAAGTTTATGAAAAACTTGAATACATATTACTACTTTTCCTCACATGACTTACTATCTACCTCAGATACATGACAAGAGTTAAGACAAATGGAGGTCAAATATCATTTTTATTATAGATTAGGACAAATTGGAAGATGAGAGTCAATGTGGGAGTGCAACAAGCATTGTAAATTTTCTTGCTCCAGTCATGGTAACTAGGTTGCCTCCTCCCTACTCACACCAAAGACAGCATCACCAATCATGTAGCATGGGCAACCCACGCTCCATGCAAAAGGGCAGATTCCACAGCAGAGAATAGTTAAGAACAGGGCAGGTATTTTCCCACGTTCTAGAGTCTTGAGTCCACAGAAACCTACACAGCAGCCCTTATTTTACTTAATAATGACCCCCAACACACAAGAGTAATGATGCTGGCAATTCGGATATGCTGGAGTGAAGCTGTAAAACAATTCCTTTAGTTGAGACGATAAAAATTGTCAGTAAGTGAAGGGGAAAATCCTCTATAGTAAATTGTTAATTTTCTATTCTGGTTAATTTATAAATTAAAACTTATCACAGGCATGTGCAGGAAAACCTAATATATGTAGGGTTAAGTACTATCAGGTGTCCAGTGGGGGCCTTGGATCATATCCCTCACAGATAAGGGGAACTAGTGTATGTACCTCATACACAGCTTCCCCATTGCTAGATCTATCTTTTGGGAAAAGAAATAACACGAACAGAAAACACAGATTAACGTTTTGTTACATTTACTTGGAACTGTTCTATTACTGGTTTGTTTGGTCCTTTTGAGACAAGGTCTTGCTGTGCAGCTCAGGCTGGCCTTGGACGCAGGATCCTTCTGGCTCAGTGTCCAGAGTGCTGGGATAACAGTTGTGTGCCACCACACATGGCCCTGAAATCTTTCATTTAAATGAAACACAGATATTGAGATACAAAAACGAAGTATCCTTTCACCATGCTTGGTCACATTTCACCTTCCTTCTTAACTAGAGACCACTTTTTTCTCTTTTTTTTTTAGTACCACAGTTTGAACTCAGGGCCTACACCTTGAGCCACTCCACCAGCCCCCCCTTTTTTCTTTTTTTTTGGTGATGGGTTTTTTTCAAGATAGGATCTGTGAACTATTTGCCCAGGCTGCCTTTCAACTGTGATCCTCCTGATCTCTGCCTCCTCAGTAGCTGGGATTACAGGCATGAGTCACTGGTACTCAGCTGAGGCAACCACTTTTGAGAACTGAATGTGTATTCTTCTGATTCATTTTTATAGTTTTAGAGAAAGTGTTTTGTTCTTAACTAATGCTTTTTACTAGGATTGGTTAGTATTGATTTTATTCAAATTCACACATGTATCGTTATGTTTATCACTTCAGTTTCCTTTACATTTTTTTATCGTTTGTGTAGATTTAATTTGCTGCATTTAACTGATACAGAGTATTCTACTGTATGACTATATCACATTTTGTTCTGCTATTTTACAAGCAACAAGCATTTCTGTCCAATTCCTGGCTACCATAATTCATGCTGCAATGGACAGACCAATACATGACTCCCTGTGCAGGTGTGTCAGTTTCTTGGGTACATGTACATAAACTCCAGAGTAACAGTTGCATTTTTTGGAATCTAGTTTACAAATTCTTTCCTATCCCAAGGCTATTGTTTTGCTTTTTACATTGTTTTCAATACATTTGGAATTCACAATATTTTAATGCATGATGATGACACAGTATATTTTTCCATATGCAGAGTCAATTACCTGAGACCATTTTTAAGTTATCATGATTTCCCCACCAATCTGGGATACCACTTCTGTGAATTACTAATTCCATATAAATTCATGCATGTTTCTAGATTCAATATTTTGTCCCAGTCTCAATTTTCTACAACTGCATCAACAAGTAATTTTGATGATTATAGTTTTACAAATTATATATGTAGAAAAGTATGTAACAAAAATAATTTTGTCTCTTCAAATTCTTATTTCTCTCATATTATTGTCTTAATGCATTAATTCCAGGAATGTACTAATTGGTGTCCAAGACTGTATCCTAACTTTAATGAGAATACTCTTAAATGTACAGTATTAGTAATATTTGTTGTGGAAATTTGGTGGGTACAGGCTTTCATTATACTCATACTTCTTATTAAATTGTATTTTAAGTTTTGAGTTGCTGCAGGATTTCCAACATTCATGTATAATAAAATTGCTGACATGTTATTAAATGTAAATTCTACCCAAGTTTTTCCTAAATCCAAGGCATTCAGAGAGTTTTAATGAGTATGAATTCTCTGGTGTCTAATGTGGTGTGACTTCTGGCTGAAAGCTTTCCCGCATTCACTACATTGATAAGGTTTTTCACCAGTATGGATTCTCATATGTAGTGCAAGAGTTGAGAACTGAGAAAAGGCTTTCCCACATTCATTACACCCATAAGGCTTCTCACCTGTATGGCTTCTCATATGCACAGTGAGAGATGAGCTTTGACAGAAGGCTTTTCCACATATTTTACACTCATAAGGTTTATCACCTGTATGAATTCTCACATGTACGATAAGTGACGTGATTCGAGAGAAGGCTTTCCCACACTTGTTACATTCATAGGGTTTCTCTCCTGTATGAATATTATGATGTTTAATGAGGTACTGCTTCTGCCTGAAGATTGTTCCACATTCATTACATTTATATGGTTTCTCTCCAATATGAATTTTCTCATGTTCGGTGAGATTTGATTTGCCACTAAAAGCTTTTCCACATTCCTTACATGTGTAGGGCTTCTCTCCTGTGTGACTTCTCTGGTGTCTAATGAGGCTTGACTTCTGAATGAAGGCTTTCCCACACCCTTTACATTGGTAAGGTTTCTCTCCAGTGTGGATTCTCTGGTGGATAACGAGATTTTCTTTCTGGCTAAAGGCTTTTCCACACTCATTACATTTAAAGGGCTTCTTTCCACTATGGATGTTCTGATGTTTAATGAGGTATTGTTTTTGGCTGAAGGCTCTTCCACACTGACTACATTCAAATGGTTTCTCTCCAGTATGAATTTTCTCGTGCTCACTAAGGTATGATTTGCCATTAAAAGCTTTTCCACATTCCTTACATGCATATGGTTTGCTTCCTGTATGATTTTTCTGGTGTCTAATAAGAGCTGGCATCTGAACAGAAGCCTTTCCGCATTCATAAGGTTTCTGTCCAGTGTGATGTTTCTGATGGGAAAGGAAGTTTTGCTGCTGGCTGAAGGCCTTTCCACATTTACTACATTTATACGATTTCTTCCCTGAATGACTCCTCAAATGCAGACTGAGGGATGAGACCCGAGAGAATACTTTGCCACATTCAGTACACTCACATGGTTTCCCTCCAGTACGCATTTTCTGACGCTCTATGAAGTTCTGCTTCAGGTTGAAGGTTTCTCTACACTCATTACAATCATAAGGTTTTTCTGCTGTAAGAATTTCACCATGCTGAAGGAGATCTGATTCAGGCTTAAGACTTTCCAACATTCCTGTCACACACAGGATTTTCTCCTAGGTTTCCTTAGTATCTGCTCAGATGTGTCAAGGATGAAAGCTTGTCCACACTCACTCAATTCATATGGTTTCTTTTCAATATTAATTCTCAGGTGTCTAATGAAGTGGAATCTATCACAGAAGACTTTGCTCACATTGATTATCCTGAGATGTGATGATTACAAAAAGGGATGAAACAGTATTGTCTTTATATTAATGGTCCTTTTACACAGTTTCTGTCATATTTAAGTATAAATTATGTATAAGTGTAAATTATGTTTCAAACTATTTTAAACCAAGTCCCATACACAGAAGTGTACTATTGAAGAATCAATGTCTGTGTTCAGAGAAAATATTTTCCTGTTTCCTAGGTTTTCTGAGTTCTTCCTCAGTCTGTACTTTCAAAGAAAGATGCAACTCAACTCACAAGTCTTTCATATTACATCTTTATCTGTTTATAAACTTCCCAGACTGCTTCTAAAAAAGAGTACAAAAAAATCATCATTGAAAAAAAAAGTTAACAAGTACAAAATATTTGGTCCCTGGCCTGAAGTAAGCATCAAATAAATTAGCCTACTGATCGTCATCAACATCACTAACAACCTGTGAATTTTCTCACTACCATTAATAAAATTTCAGAAATGTGCTTTTAAAAGACTATTCAGGTCTAGTCTCTCAGTACAAAAGAACGCTCAAATACAAATATATTCACAGGTGGCTTTAATAAAATTTTGCATATATCTCCAATCAGTAAAATATGAGAAAACATGAAGACAAGGCAACTACCAGAACAAACACTAAGATGGGGAAAAACATAAAGAGAAGAATTTAAACAAGGTCTTTATTTCTATATCTTCCTGAAATTCCATTAGAGTGGTAATAAAGACTGAAGGGATGCAAATATTCACAAAAGCTAAAGGTGCTGAGACACAAGTGGACAAAGGACAAAGGAAACTTTGGAACGAAAGCAAATAGAGGACTGTAAATTAATGGCAGAACTGAGTAGCTTAAGTAAAATCCCAGCAGATGAGGAAACAAGGGTAATCTGTGATATGGATGACAACAAATAAGCTCTTTCACTGCAGAGGCTGGGCAAGAGTGGAAGGTTGGGCTTATCAAAAGAGTGTAAAATGAACTGCTGCTGCCTTCAACTCTCATAGCTGCTAGTAACTGGAAATCCATCACCAGAGAAGTAAAACAAAGAGGCTCCAAATTTAGTGCTGAAAAGCAAAGTAGTGAAAAGAATGGGATGAGGAAATATTTATCTATAAAACAGGAACCAGGTAAGGCACTTTTTGCAGTTGGTCTCCAAGAATGCTGGTGGTTGCCAGATGTCAAAAAATGAATACATTCTTTTCTAAAAAATAACCCCATGAAAACACATACAGGCACAAACACTTGGGAGTTATAGTTCCTAAGTGATTGCTGCACAGTGTGGCTTACCGTTTTACAAGCCTTATCTATTCCTGCAAAGATTATAATAATCCCTCCGTTACCTCAATGTTAATACTAATGTAGACCCAAAGATGACAAAATATTTGAAGAAAACCAGATCATGAGAGATAGACGGAAACATGGAAAAGAACAGAAAACACACATATAACAATACCACAATGGGCTGGATGGACATGGCGGCTTATTTTTGTAATCTCTACACTCAGGGAAGCTGAGGCAGGAGGACCATGAGCAAGTTTGAGGCCAGCCTGGGATACATAGTCCATTTGAGGCCAGCTTGTGCTACATGGCGAGACCTTGTCTCCAAAACAAAACCCAACTGGACTGGGAGTGTAGCTCAGTGGTAGAGTGTTCTAGCATGCATGAGGGTCAGGGTTCAATCCCCAGTATCGAAAACAAACAAGCAGTATAATTAATATCACAAAGAGCTAAAAGAAATTATAGCAATGAAGTATTAACAGGATTCTATAAATAAGTGCTTTTGGAAATAAAGAATAAAATATTAAGTTTAAAAATTTAGTAGTTTGGTATAAAAACAGGAAATTTAGAATTAAAAAAAGAAGGAATGAAGCCTGTAATCCTAGCTCCTCAGAAGGCAGAGATCAGGAGGACTGTGGTTTGAAGCCAGCCCAAATTGTGAAACTCCTTTCACAAAAATAGGGCTGGTGGAGTGGTTCAAGGTGAAGGCCATAAGTTCAAGTCCCAGTACCTCACACACAAAAAAAATTAATGTAGAGCTGGGTGCCAGTGGCTCATACCTGTAATTCTTGGACTTGGGAGGCTGAGATCAGAAGCACTGTGATTCCAGGCCAGCCTGGGCAAAAAACATTAGGAGACCCTGTCTTAATGGAAAAATGCTGGGTGTGGTAGTACATGCCTGTCATTCCAGTGACCACTGGAAGCTTAAAATAGGAGGACTGTGGTCCAGGGGAGCCTGGGCAAAAAGCAATACACTGTCTCCAAAATATTCAGAGCAAAAAGGGCTGGACATATGGCTCCAGTGGTAGAGTACCTGCCTAGTAAGCATGAAGCCCTGAGTTCAAACTTTTGTACCACAAAAAAATTACCAATGCAGAAAATTCTCACAGAGGGTCAGGCACAGTGGTCACTCCCATAATCCCACTTATTCAGGAGGCAGATATCAGGAGGTTCAGGGTGTGAAGTCACACTGGAAAAGTCAGTAAAACCACATCTCAACAAAAAAGCTAGGCATGGTGGTACACACGACTAATCTCAGCTACATAGGAAGCATATGTAGCAGGATTGCTGTTCCAGACAATCCAGGTAGAAAGTGAGAACCTCTCCAAAAAATAATCTAAAGCAAAAAGAGCTAGAGGTGTGGCTCAGATGGCAGAATACATGCCTAGCACGTGTAAGATCTTGAGTTTAAACCTTAATACCTCTAAAAATAAAATAAATAAATGAATAAGCTAATTAATTAATTAAAATAAAATTCACAGAATACATGAAAACATCCCAGAATTATAGTCTATACATAGACTGGCCTATCAAGTAAGAAAGAACATTCCATTTTAAAAGATCCATCCTAAAGCACATTATTGTGAAGTTTCAGCTAGAAATAGTAAGAGGATCTTAAATATTTGTTAAAAATTGTTTATCATACAGGGGGCTGGTAAAATGGCATACTGAAAAAGCCCTGAGTTCCCAGTACCATTGGAGCCAGTGGCTTACGCTTAATAATTCTAGCTACTCAGGAAGCAGAGATCAGGAGGACCTCAGTTTGAGGACAGCCTGGGCAAATAGTTTGAGAGACCCTATCTCGACAATGTCCAAAACACACAGAAAAAAGGGCTGGCAGAGTGGCTCAAGTGGTAAAGCGCCTGCCTTAAAAGCGTGAGGCCCTGAGTTGAAACTCAGAAAAACAAACAAACAAAAAACCCCAAGAAAAACAGAAAACTTAATAACAATGAAAGAAATTAATCAAAGCTGAAAAAGAAATAATAAGTTCATGAATTGACTGTTGGGGAAAAAATTAAAAAGGCATAAAAGAAAGAAAAGAAAAAGGAAAAAAGATGATTTAGAAATAATGGGAAATAAGAAATTTGGTTTTAACCTATGAAATTAAAGCCAGAAACAGAAAATGTAAAAAAAAAAAAAAAAAAAGGGCAACTTGTTAACGTATTTCGTTAACCCTAAGCCTAAGGCATCGATGACTGGACCATGTGACTTTTACTAAACATTCAATAGGTAACAGAATTACTATCTATTTTAAATATTCCAACCACTTTCTAAATTCATTACATTTGGGAAAATATAATACATAACAGATGAAGACTTAAGGTACTACATTCTTAATGAGAAAATAAAAAGTTACATCTCCTTCATAATTAAAGCCCCGCATATTTTTATAGATGTTACATCAACACCCTTCACATATACTGTCATAACAATGCTGAACCAGGCAATATCATCTGAATATCAGGCAACACTGTCCTTTTAAGAACATTTATCTTGTGGTTTAAAAAATATTTTCAAAATGTTCCAATGAGTCAGTTTCTGGTGGCTCCCTCCTATAATCCTAGCTACTTGGGAGGCTGAGATTGGGAGGATCTTGGTTCAAGGCTAGCCTGGGCAGCCGTGAACTACCAAGCAATTCCAAAGCCCTGGGTTCAAACACCAGTCCCACCAAATAAAAAAAAAAAAATGCAAGCAAACTCTTAAACTATATTCTATGTAGATAGGAACCTGTTAGAACAGGGGTCAGCAAACTATACCCACTACCTTTTCTGTAAAAAGTTTTACTAGAACATGGCCTTGTTCATTCACTCTCTTATTGCCTGTGACTACATTTGTGCTACCGTGCCTGCTCTGAACAGATGCAACAAAGATCCTACAGCCTACAAAGCCTAAAATACTACCTGGCCTTTACACAAAGTCTGCCTGACACCCTGTCCTAGCATAGGGAGTCCTCCCTTTCCCATCTGGCTGGAAATGAGATGAACTGTTTAACCACCTCCAATCACAACTAGTTAAGAAAGAGACAACCTGGAAGGAACCCTTGATCTTTAAAGGACCAAAGACCAAAGCTACCATGCAAATCTGGATTACCACATGATTGTTACATGAGCAAGAAATCAATTCCTATATTCTTATTTAATAGACTCCTTACTGGTGTTGCTACTTTTGCCTTTCCATCTTTTCAACAACTCTCAGCAGATCATCCGCAGAAATACTGTCACAGTTGAATCATGACATTGCTCTACTTGAAAGCCTTCTTGTATACACATGAAAACATTTAGAAGCATACACAAGACACTTAACAGTGGTGCTTGTGGGGAATAGAGAATTGAAGGTTAGGAAGGAGGAGACATACTCTACTGTTTTAATTTTCTATTAACTTACAATATTGTTTCTTGTTATAATTAACAGAGAAATTAACTAGTAGAACTCAGTAGTAATTTCTAAGCTTGCAATACTATTAAAGACTAGGAGGTGAGGAAATGTTAACCAAGAGGGCTGGAAATGATAAGACTAGGAATTAAGACTAATAGGATAAAATTCAGCTCTAGGTATATAACAATGAAAGTTGTAGAAATGCTAGAAAGTTCAATTTTATCTATTTATTAATCATTTTTTTGGCAGTACTGGGGTTTGAACTAAGGCAGGCACTCTACCACTGAGCCATACATCCAGCCCCCAAAAGGTAAATTCTAAAGAAAAGAATCTACACACTAATTTTGGAAAGATTATGGAAGAACGAAGGACTGAATGCTTAAGAAAATGAGCCTACACAGGTAGGGAGAAGTGAAAAATGGAGAATGTTAGTAAAAGAGAAAACAAACATGAACAAAATTGTAAAAATCAGTCAGCATTAGGTGCTCACTTCTGTAATCCTAGCTACTTGGGAAGATGACATCAGGAAGATCGAGGATCCTGACGAACTAGGGCAAAAAAAGTTCTCAATGAGGACAAAGCTGGGCATGGTGGCATGCACCTGTCATCCTACCCTTGGCAGGAAGCACAAACGAGTGTCATGGTCTGGGCAAAAAGTGAAATCCTCTCTCCAAAATAACCAGAGCAAAAAGGGCTGGAGGCTGGCTCAAGCGGTACAGCACTTGGCTAGCAAGAGCAAAGCCTTGAGTTCAAACCCCAGTACACCCAAAACAAAACAAACAAAAACCTAAAAAAAAAATCAAAATTAAGGCTATAAATAGGGAAGCTGCCATCCAAAATAGAGGTTGGAGAGACAACTAATTTTCCATAACCTGAGAAAAGGAATGCAGAGCAGGAAGAATATCTGGAAGTGACACTCAGGTAGCCAAAGAATTCCCAGCAATTGTCTTTCCAAAAGGATAAGAACTAACTGAAAACTTCGGACTAGATGTATGGCTTGAGCAGCAGAATGCCTGGTTAGTAGCCGGGAAACCCTGGATTCAAACCCTAGTACTGATAAGAAATAAAAAAAAAAAGGCTGAAAAAAATTTAGAGGCTGTAAACTCTCACTGAATAACTGTACCTGCCAGATTCCCTCTCACTTACCTACAGAGTCTTCTTTACACTCCTTCTTAATCATTCATTGCTCTGATCTGTTGTTAAACTTTTAATAGAACAGCGACCCAAGCTTGGATTTTATGGCTGTGAGACAAACCAACATCCAGAATTCAGGCTGAGTCCTTCGAAGCCTCAGAGATTTTGAAGGGTAAGGAAAGCACGGCTCCTAGGGATGCAGGAGGAAGCTGGCCTGGGAAAAACAACAAAGTAACCATGAGACATGGGCATATTCACACATGGAAAGAGTATTTGTACTTTGCATCTCATGTAAACCTATTTTTATCACTTAAAAGCACAACAAACTTCAGATGTGGGAGACAGATGGTACCTTATTTTCAGAATTTAGAATACACAGAAAAAACTATGAGATTGAATTGCCACAGGTCTACATAATCACAACCTGAACAGGTTCATTGGGCCTTGTTCCTGATTAAAGTCAAATGCTTGCCTATCATTTTGCCCCATAGCATTCTTCCTATAAATGTAAAGTCACCAATCTTGAGAAATATGGACAAAATACATAGGAAATTCTTCTTCTTCTTTTTTTTTTCTTCTCATTGGTCATACTGGGGTTTGAACTCAGGGCCTTGTGCTTGCTAGGCATGCTCTACACTTATGTCACTCCACTAGCTATAGGAATTATTCTGAGAGTATTTATAACTTGGAGCTCTTAAAAATTTTAGAGCCCTAATATAATACCTAGGTTAGGTTCCTCCAGGAGAAATTAAATATAAGTGCCCCATAATCAGCACATTCGCTGATACAGGAAACATTGTGTTATGAAGAAACTGGGTTTCCAACTTGTATTGAGATTTGACAGATGAAAGGGTCTAACTTACTCAGAAATTCTGCGTTTTTCTGGAGTACGCCAGGGGCATGAACTCAGGGCATCATGCTTGCAAAGCAGACACTCTACCACTTGAGTCACACCTTCAGTTCATTTTGCTCTGGTTATTTTGGAGATGTATCTCTCAAACTATTTGCCCAAGCTGGTCTCAACCTTGATCCTCCCAATCTTAGCCTCCCAAGTAGCAAGGATTATAGGTGTGAGCCGCCAGCACCCAGCAGAAACTTTACTCTTACAAAGGTGTAATAGCTTTAGAACCTTGTCTGGACAGTGCTATGAAATGGTCAATAGTGAATGGAGGTTGACCGCAAGCAGGAGCCATCATGATGACATTGTGAATATAAAGAATTTGAAGTTCTTGTGCAAACTCCAGTTGGACCTGTCCATTTGGCAGTCAGATATATGGATTAGGAGCTCAGAACAAGCCTCAAGTAAAAATGGACATTTGTTAGTTATCTGTGTAAGACCAAACTATAGCAATAGAATGCTGTTGTTGATGGAGTACTTAGAGGTGAAAAAAGAAGATGATCAAGTCCAGAAACTTCGGAACACTGACATCAGAGTTAGTAAAAAGAGCCCTATCTTCTTTATAACTTACTATTTCTGTATACATCAAAACTATTATTTTTATACGAATTTTTGTACAGTCATTTTGCTTTTTCATTGTATTGAAAGATGTTAAGTGTGTAACAAAATGGTTGAAGAGAGTGTCTTTGTAGACAGAAAAAATGTGCTTCACACATCTACAAAGGCCATTTGGAATTGGGACAACCTGGTCAAATTAGGAGTCAGATGCCCGGCTCTTTGAAAAACCACGGAGACTTAAATTGTTTTTTGGATTTTTTTTTTTTTTTTTTTTTGGCGGTACTGGTGTTTGAACTCAGGTAAAGTTTCTTCAAAGTGTTAAGAAAGTACGTACTGGTAGTGTCTGTCGGCACCCAATAACAAGTTTTATGGAAAGCTTAAAAAAAAAATGACTTCGTTTTCTACTCTGCAGTGGGTCTGCTTTCGTATTAGCCCCTCTCCCCCCTAAAAATTACTTATCCAGCCCTTAACGCAGAGAAACTAAAGCAGATACCTTAAAAGCAACTGAGGCCAACAGGAAAAGGGGAACAGGTACTAGAGAAAAGGTTAGATCAAAAAGAATTAACCTAGAAGGTAACACACACGCACAGGAAATCAATGTGAGTCAATGCCCTGTATAGCTATTCTTATCTCAACCAGCAAAACCCTTGTTCCTTCCTATTATTGCTTATACTCTCTCTACAACAAAATTAGAGATAAGGGCAAAATAGTTTCTGCTGGGTATTGGGGGGGGAGAGGGAGGGGGAGCAGGGGGGAGAAATGACCCAAGCCTTGTATGCACATATGAATAATAAAAGAAAAATGAAAAAAAAAATTACTTATCCACTCAATTCCTTCTTCCTTTCTTATTTTCCAGAACAATGCACCTTCACTATAAGTGCGAAATGTGAGGATTCGAGGTTACTACCTCACAAAACTACACACAAGCTTGGAACCAGCGTCTAACTCTGCAACCCCGCCCTGGTCACCCACCCTGGAACTCTCCCGTTTCCTCCCTTTCCCTGTCCCCTTTCGGCCTCCCCAGCCTCTCCTCCGCCAATCCTCCCCTGCATCCTCCTCGACACGATTCCGACCCAAACCCAGGTCCTGCCCGCGGAGACAACTAACTCACCGGCTCACAAAGGCGACCATGGCGAGTCACGGCCCGCGCCTGCGCACTCCGCCGGCGCTGCTCTCCCCGAGGTCTCCGCCGGTCGTGCTGGGCAGAAACACGCAGAAGCCGCTGGTGCCGGCTCGTCCTTCACTTGTGTGACTGCGAACTACATTCACCACGAGCTTCAGTGGCCCGAGCCAGCTTGTCCGCGCCGGAGCTTATGGGACTCTGTTTCCCTGGGGATGGCAGAGGGTGTGAGTAGCGAGGTTCAGGACTCTCTTCAAAGTCTACCTGCGTTTACCTGTGGGAGAGGCAGAATAATGAGCTCAGTTCAAACACACAGGGCTGATTTTATTACCGAGGATCTCCAGGAGACGCCGGGTGCGGTTGTGGGATGGACAGAACCCGCTCAGCGGGGTACGAGCCCAGCGCCATTTCGTTCTCAGCGGGGCGGCGCTGAACTACATTTCCCAGACTACGTCGGGTCCTCGGCTCCGCCTCTCGCGAGGCTGCGGATGAGAACACCGGTACGGGAACGCAGTGCTGGTCTCTACCACAAACTGACAGCTACGGGAGGGCGGGGATTGAGCCTGGGCGAGACAGGCTGGAGAGTGGGTGGTTTGAAACTGTAAAGTGACTGTGTGTCCAGAGTGTGTGCTGTGGCTGTGACACCCCTTGTGCGCATGTGCGGTGGGCTGTGAGTCCCCGTGACATGCATGGTAAAGTGTGGTCGTGGGCAGCGCTGTGGATGTGACTGTACGTCCCCGTGGGGTGTGTGGTTGTGTGACCACGCACTCCTCTTTGTGTACACGTGTAGGGAAGGTACATTGTGGCTTCGAGGCACAATGTGGCATCTTCCTGCCAGATGGGATGGTGACTCTGCAGCATTGTGGGCAGGGGGGGTGGAGGATGCTGTGACAGAGCCTGTGTGACTCTGCAGAACTGTGTGTGTGGATTTGAGGAGCCTCTGTTTATGACTGTAAGTCATATAAAGTAATATGTGGATCGCAACACAGCTCGCCTTTGACCGGACAGGGGTACTTTTCTGTGACACAAATTGAGATGGAAGTGCCAGTGTCCTTCGACAGCCTTCCCATGACGGGTTTAGCCCCAGGGAAGGTCTGTCCTCTTCTTTCCCATTTCGGTCCTCCGAGAGTTCCCAGAGGAGGAGGAAATAAGGGCTGTGACATCTGGTCACATGTAAGGTATCTTTGTTCCTGCAATGCTTTATTTTTTTTCGTGGGGCATTTTCTTTTTCCTTCTTTGCAAATGTCTATCAGACTTAGCAAGTAACCTAGAATCCACTATTTCTCTTTGGGAATACCTTCCTTGCTCTTCCTAATTGCCTCTTACTGATTGGCATGTGGCTCAATTATCTTGTGTGCTGAGTATTTTGGTTTTATATATTCCTATGTATTTGTGTATGTGCATGCACAAATGTATGTATACATATATGCCTTATGTTTTCTTTTAAATGGTTGTTGTTTTGAGAGGACAACCCAGGCTGGCCTCAAACTCCCCTTCTGCCTCTGCCTCCTGAGTGCTGGCTTACAAGCTTCTGCCACCACACCTGGCATTTAAGTGATATTTTAACTTCCCACATAATTGTAAGTTATTTAAGAATATTTTAAATATTAGATATTCTTAATTGTTTTGCCACATGTGTGGCTAACTCAGTATCAACTCCCCTTCCTTTATTGCTACAAAAATCGTGATCTGTTTAAAGATACAGGGGAAAATATTAGAACCTGCTGAAGGATTGGATGTAGTAAGAGAAAGAAGAAAGAAAAAAGACTTTTCATTTGATCAATTCAATTGATGAGAGTTGAGTAACTCAGTTGAGCTGATTAAAGTTCATGCACAGGCAAACGCAACAAAACATGCAAATTATACATATTGGGGAAACAGCAGGAGAGGACCATTGGGTTGGAAGACACCTATGGTTTCTGGCCTAAAGTAGGTGAGTAAAATGACTTGTTACTATTTTCCAGTCTGGAGGTTGAGTCTTCCTACTGATCTGAACACAAGCTGTCCTTTCATGTTGAGAATGTTATGTATAAAAATTAAAGGGTACAGTGGTAGTATTTTCTGAAGATAAGGACTTGGTGATCTAGGTGGTATTAAAATCATTTGGGTATTTGCTGGAGTTTCTCAGAAGTAAAAAGCAGAATGAGAATCCCTTTCCTTAGTGCCATTAAGTCTATAGTCTTCCCACCTGAATTTCCTTGAAAATGGATTTTTGTCTTCTCAGTTCATTATGTCCTGAAGTCTATGTTGAGAATCTGTGTCCCCTCTCCATACCTATATTGCTCCTGTATACTGGTCCCACACTGGATTTCATTCTTCAATAGGAATTCTTACTCTCTTCTGACTTAACAAGAGTAATTGTGGGATCATAGTGACCATAGTAAAATGGTCACAAGAAAATAAATTATAAGTCTTTGATTGTTAAAAGTCAGATGAGTTACTAACCGGGAAATACTAGGAGCATTTCCATTAAGTCAAGAAGGAGACAAAAATATCATAACCATTACATGTTAATTTTTTGGAGGTGCCAACAAGAAAAAACTTTGAAATAAAATTAAGAGGAAATAACATTGACAGTAAAATGATTATATAAAGAGTATGCAGTAAAGATAAGTGTGTACTTTTTAGCCATCCTCTGAACCTCAGTATGAGTTGAACAGGCTCACTAATCCATGTCAGTCTTCTTTTTTTTTTATTTTTAGCAGTACTGGAGATTGAACTCAGGGCTTCAGACTTGCTAGACAAGCACTCTACCACTTAAGTCACGCTCCTAGTCTTTGTGTTTTTAGTTTGCTTTCAGATAGGGTCTCACCCTTTTGCCCCAGCTGATGTTGGACTGCAGTCCTCCCACTTCCACTTCCTGAGTAGCTTGGATTACAGCGGTGAGCCATCACACCCAGCCTCTATCATCTCTTCAATCCCATATCCTGCTTCCATTCTTCTTCCACAGGAAACACTCATTCAAAATGTTTAATTTGGGGTCAGCTGACCAAGCAGCCATCATGCCAAATTAGGCCCCTTGTCTGGGCCCCTGAGCTGCCATAGCCGTGGCCCATCACTGCAGGCCAAGAAGCAGTGGTGGAGAAGGTCTCCCGGGTCTGCGAGGGAAAGAACCTGAGACTGACCAGGTTCAGGAAGCCTAGGTTGAAGATGAACACTTCACCGTGCGGAGGGAGAAGGAGTTCAAGGCCAAGGGAGCTGCAGCACTGGGAATCCAAGAAGACTGTGGACAGGGCGAGAGGTGCTGCTCCGCAGGCTGGCTGGTAACGCCCAGGTGGAATGTGGAGTGTTGGCTGAGCTCCTGTTCTGTTCCTATGAAAGGCGTTACATCATTTCCCTAGGCTGGTAGCCGCCCTTCACTTTCTGTAGAGAAGCAAACCTAGCTTCTTTGTATAAACTTGGTTCTTACCAACGGCTTCATCTTTTTACCTCGTATTTCATACAGATTTTATGAGTTTGTGTTGTTCGTTTTCCTAGGCCTTTTAGCTCAAGTTCTTACATCTTGTAGGAACAACAACAAAAAATTCTTTGAAGAACGGAAGGGATTAAGTATTTTTTCCTTTATACCTTTTTTTGTTGTTGTTGTTGTACTGGGGCTTGAACTTGGGGCCTTCAACTTGAGTCACTCCACCAGCCCTTTTTTGTGAAGGGTGTTTTCGAGAAACAGTCTCAAACTATTTCCCCGGGCTGGTTTTGAACTGCAGTCCTTTTGATCTCTGCCTCCTGAGTAGCTAGGATTACAGGCATGAGCCACCAGCACCTGCCTTCCTTTAAACTTTCTTAAAGGTCAGGTGCTTTATCTCTGAAAAAGTAGTTAAATAGTCGTTTCTAACTTGTACTCAGAAGCAGTCAACCTTAAAGTAGTCCATTTTGGCTAAGGGTTAGGAAATAAATACTAATATACTTGTTTGGGCTGCTGTTAGTTTATCTTACATGTTATTTGGTATACTGATAATCATTTAAAGATTATCTCATGCAAAAAACTGATTAATTTTATCTCTATTCTTATGTTCTTACAAAGATGTATGTTATATATATATTTACCTTTGTGAATATTAGGTCTCCTATTCCTTTTTACTTTTTATTATGCATGAAATTTTTACATTCTACTTGACACTATGTAAATATTAATGTCAGGGCACTGATCACATTTAATTACCTACTCTGCCAGAGGATAGACACTCCAAATTGCCTCCAATACTCTACAACCACAAGAAATGCTGAAATGAAAGGTCTTCATACATATCTATTTATGGACATCTTTGAGAATTTCTTAGGAAATAGAATTTATGACTCATAGGATGTAAGTTTCCTTGACTCGGTAGTGCCAAATTGGTTGTAGAAGTCCACACTCCCACCAGTATTGCATGAGTGTTTTCATATCCCTACACTAGAATGCATCCGTTTTTTCATGGCTACTACAAAAGGTATAAATTATTATGCAGTTTCTGATTGTCAGTGATTTTAAGCGTCTTCTCATGCTTCTTAGATTTTTGAGCTTCTGTTTTATAAATTGCATGTTTGTGCCTTGTGCTCAAATTTCAATTGAGATTACTGTTTTTTTCTTGTTAATTTGCAAATGTTCTTGTATTTTCTAGATATTAACTCCCTGACAGTTTTTGCCTCTTGATATCCTCCTCTGTATGTATTCTGTTAATTATTTTTTTACTGAACAAATCCTTTAATATCAGAGTTACCTATTTTTCCCTTGTGGTTTAAGTATTGAATTGTTATTTAAGAAATCTTTTTCAACTGGGGGAGTGGCTCAAGTGATAGAGTGCCTGTCTAGCAAGCATGAGGTCAAGTTCAAGCCCAGTACCACCAAGAAAAAAAAAGTCTTATAAAAGAAGTCTTTTCTACTATGAGGTCACAAAGAAATTCTACATTTTTGTGGATAAATGTAGTTGCACCATACACACTTAGGTCTTCAACCATTCTAACGTCCAATTCGGTATTTTAAAAAAGACATATCCTCCCACAATTATCTCATTCAGACATTCTCTGTAAGATACATTTTTGCAGCCTCTAGTTAAAATGTTTGGTAACTGTTGTTACAGCCATTCTTTTAATTTTTAAAAAATTTTTTCAGTGTTGGGGATCAAACCCACAGCTACCTCCCCAGCCCCACAAATGACTAATGATGTTGAGTGTGTTTTCATGTGTTGATTGGCTATTTGTATATCTAAACGTGTATTCAAATCCTTTACTCATTTGTTCTGATAGCTTTTTTAATAGTTTTTTAAATTGGCATTTTGTATTAGTCAAGGTTCTTCAGAGAAACAGAACCAGTAGGATATTATACATAAAGAGAAACATTGACTTCAAGGAACTGAAAACTGGGTGGGTGGGGTGATGAATGCCTTTAATCTCAGCACTTGGAAGGTTGAAGTAAAAGGATCTCGAGTTTGAGGCTAGCTGGGCTACATAATGAGAAAGGAAAAAAAAAAAAGGAACAGAGCTGGCTCATGCAATTGTGGATGCT